GCCTCCGCTGGCCTGGAATAAGAATGGGCCGAATGGGCCCCAGCCGGGGCAGCCTCAGCGCATGTGGCGAGGGAGGGCGCTGCGGTGGGACGGGGCGTTTGTCAACATTTTAAGACCATCTCCAGGCAATTTGTGGTCCTTCCGTCCGTTGAGGTCATTCCTGCAACACGCTTCGCTCACTCCCATCCACACTCGTCAAGGAAGAAACGAGTTTGGCCGGTCAGTCGTTGAGCTGTCGAAGACCTAGGCTCGCCACAGCCTCAAGGCTCGTCACAGCCCTAAGGGGCAGGTGCGGTGGGCCGAGGCGTCAAGCCCATGACGGGACTTAGCGGCTCCCAGCCCATCGCAAGCGAGGGCCAATGTCAACACTGGGGGTCTCGGTCGAGGCTGCCGCCATGGCTGCCGCAGGCCGCAGAGCGTTTAAGATTGCCACGCGGCCGGAGGAGGGAGAGAGACAGAGACAGGGTCTGTCGACGGACCTGTGTCAATAATCTTGCCGCGAGATTCGATTCGCCTCGACTTTGAAGTCGGCGGGACGGTGATGGAAACACGCCATTGGCTGTACCGTACGTCATCACGGAAATGTTGACAAACAGTCATTTGATCCGAACTCTGAAAGTCCATCTTACGACGAAAATGGGGTTTCTCCCCACACAGCCACGCAAAAGCAAATATAAAATTTAAGACGGAGACATTTTTTTTGCCTGCGCACCCAAAAAAACAAAAGACTTCTTAGATGAAGAAAAATTTAACTTTTCTTAGTTTTTTTTCAAGAGAGATTGTCTTGATCCAATTTTTTTTCTTGAATAACGAAAAATTTTCTTGTGTCAAGATTATTTTATTAAAAAAAACCAAGAAAATTAAAAATGCAGAAACCCTTTTGCTGGGTGCGCCGCATTCGCTATCATAGCGTAAATTCATAAATTTCACTGCAAGATGTTTAAAGTGTAACCGGTTCATTTCTTTAAAAAAAACCGCTTTTAAAAATAATGAGCTTAGTGGTTTGACTACGGTGGTTCCCCCCCAACGTTCACGTTGAAAGTTCGTATCAGCCGAACTGTGTGCGCCTCTTGTACGAAGCCAAGGCTGTCGGGTTGGCGTGGGCGAGGCCAAGGGGGGAGGGGAGGGAGGGGAAGGGAGGGGGAAGGGAGAGGGGGCGGAGTTGGAGGATTAGGAGAGGAAGCAGCAGAAGAGGCCCTCCATCATTTATTCCGCCATCGACGCCTTGTCGTCTGCTCTGCCCGCGGATCTTGCAGGATCCAGCAGGCGGTGCGCTGAGGGCCGCGTCGAGCCGTCGAGGGCGCGGAGCGTCCTATCTCCTCGCCCTGTCTCTCTCGCACTCACGGGGCGTCCCGCAGCGCGCGCAGGGGTGCGAGAGAGACAGAGCGACGAAAGCGCTGTGTTGTTCGGAGTCAGACTGTGCAGCCCCGGCAGCCCACTCGGTAATGGCGCAAGCAGCTGCCGATGTGTCAAGGACACGTCAAGGACGCGTCAAGGACGCGTCGAGGGCGCATCAAGGACACGTGCAGTGGACGTGTCGAGGACGTGACTTGCATCCCTCGTGGAAGTGGCGCGGGCGTCCCTCCTTCGGACTGAGCGAGAGAGACGCTGCTTCCTCAAATTAATACCTCCCGAGACTCGCCATCTTTGCGCACACACACCCGAAAAAGGAAAAAAAGAATATCCTCCAGTCAAAATGGCCGCCTGGTTTGCTCCGCTCCCTCGCCGACATTGCAAATAAAGCGCGAATCGCATCCCGCTGTGGAGGTGTGCGGTGGGGCGTACCGCTCGCACGGCATACCTCAGCAAAAGTATTTCTCGATTGCTCGCCGAGGAGAAAAAGAGAGAGAGAGAGAGAGAGGAAGTAACCCTCCAAATTATTATCGCGAATTGCCTTGCTCCTCGTGCTCCCTCCGCGGGGGTGGGCGTGGTTCGGATGTTCGACGCCACCCGGAAATCTGGAGAGCCAGTCGCCTGGAACGCAATAATGGACTGGCCTGGCAACCTGTTGACAAGCAGCGCGCGCTTTTTCCCTGGCCAGAAAGGAGGAGAGAGAGAGCGCGCGCGCGCGCACACACACACACACACACACACACTGACGCGCGGTGGCGATGTGGCGTGCTGCCGACTAAACAGAGCCGTGAAAAGTTAATGCGTGCAAACTAACTACCTCGGGGTGTCGGAGGACCACACCGGGCTGCTCCCTCGACGCTCCGCGAGTGGAAAGGGGTAGGGGGGAGGGGGGTGCGGCTTTGCAGTGGGGTGAAGCCCCAGCAGCAGTCGACAGGTAAACAGCGTGAATCGTTAATGGTGACGCTGGCTGTCTCTTATCGTGCCCCACCCCGTCCGTTTCCGGTCCCCGCCATGGCACTGCCATGGGCCGGCCCGCTTCCTGCTCCACCGGAAATGCGCGGCGGTGGCCCCGCCATGGCCCTGCAGTGCAGGCAACAGGGCCTGCCCAGCCTCCGCTGCCCCTGTCTCTCCGTCTCTGACTCTCTGTCCGGGTTCCAATTATCCTTCGAGTCCGTCGAGCCCAATCACTTCCCTCTCAAAAATCATGCAGAAAAAGTCCGTACGGATACTGGGCCTGAACGTAGAATAATACTCGATGGATTTAAGTTCTTAATACAGATGATTTTGTTCGCAATTTTTCTTCACTCAATATTTATTTTTTTCGGGTGGCGCGAACCCGATTTGCAAATCGCGTCAACACGACGGCCGCTGGTGGCGGCGATCCCCCGGCCCCGGCAAACAAGCAGAAAACGGGATTTGCGGGTGAGGAAAAAATCGGAAAAAAAGGAGACGGAAAAAGCGATGACTTTGTGAGGAGATTGTTCGGTCGTTTCGGTGATCCCCTGTTGATGCCAGGGCAATGCCATAGCAATGCCAGGGCCTGTACAACGAGAAGGACAATGCGGAAGAGGGTCTGTGATGGATGGCCATTCACACTCCTATTACCCCCCCCCCCCCCACACACACACACAGAGACAGACACACACTCACACGGGCTTGACGCACGCTTTACGCTGCTGTTCAACGCTTGTCGCTGTGATGTCAGTCTGCGTGCTTCCCGCTCTGGAACAACACCACTGGACATAACTTTTTAAAAGCCTTTCCCCTGAATCACGGCGATGGACGTTAGTTTGGCGACGCTGCAGATGACTGTGCTTTTTTGGCCGTGCCCACGCTGACCTGACCACTCCAAAGCCTGAGGGAAACTCGAGCACACTGACCCAATTTCTCGCCACGCCCCACCACGCCCCGCCACACCCCGCCACACCCTGCATCTCCCATCGCGGAACGGCCAAGAAGAAAACCTCTGGAAAGAGAAGAATTCCCCGAGACAAAACAGTCAAGAGAGAGAGAGGAAGAGAGAGAGAGAGAGAGAGAGAGAGAGAGAGAGAGAGAGAGAGAGAGAGAGAGAGAGAGAGAGAGAGAGGGAGAGAGAGTTGATGGCCGACTGTTCCTTTTTCCTGAAAGGATACCGAAGATAAAAATGAGCGGAGTACGTCATTACAAAGAAAATGATGAAAAGTGTGTTTCGAGGCAGAGACGAACGGTTCGGAGGGATGAAACTCGCTTCCGATACGCTCCACGCTCCGATTCGCTCCGCCCCAGCACGTCCCGAAACGCCTGCCGACTGCGGGATGGCCCAGCCGCGACTCTGCAGAGTGCTGCAGAGTGTTACATACCTCGCGCTTTTCCGCTTTTCAATAGAAAATCTGTAAACAAAGCGGAAGAAAGCTGGCTGCTTTCCTTTCTTTGGCCTGCCAGCAAGCCTGCCAGCAAGCCTGCCAGGGTAGCGTCCTACACTACAAAGGACGGCAGTGGGGTGTTCTGCCGGTTAAGGATTGCAGACCATGACGGCGCGTCTCCCGTTACGCCAGCCAGCCTCCCAGAATGCACTACAGAGCTGTACCGTCGGCACTCTTTGTTTTATCCCTCCCGACGGGTCTGCTTTCCGTAATAAGCTTTCTGGCCGAGGACGACAGCGGGGCAGGCAGGGCTGGTCTGTGCTGGCATGCAATAAAACTTGGCCGAGCTTTCGCAGTTCGGGTAAGCTTCCCGACCTGCGCGATGTACTCTTGGAAATTTCTTCCTTCCGCGAGGCCGGCGGGCCGCCCCGCCGAGGCAGTGCTTGGCGCTCAAACTCTTCACAACTTGATTTTATTTTTTATTTAAAGGGAACGCTGAAAAATTGCGGGACTCTTGGCCTACTCATGTGGGCACATTGCGGAGCGCGCTGAGGGCCAAGACCGGAGGCGGTGAAAATCCCGGAAGCGTTTTGAGCTCCAGAGTCGCTAAATGGGACTCGAACCGAACGTGTGACCCCACCAATGGATTGCTCTCCGAACGAGGAATCCATTGGTGGAGTCACACGTTCGGTTCGAGTCCTGCTTAGCGACTCTGAAGCTCAAAACGCTTCTGGAGTTTTGGCTGCCTCCACCGGTCTTCTGGCCCACTGTGCGTCCCGGCGCGTGAGCATGCTGCGCGTGCTGCGTGACCCGACACGGCCGGGTCGCCGACTCGGGAGGGCAGGGAACTGGGTGGGTGGCGGCCTGGCGGGGCGTCGCCGGCCGGCGGTGTGAGGCGGTTTGAGGCGGATCCGGGCGGGTGGCTGCGCTGAGCAGGGCCTTCCCGCCGGGGGTTGTCGGAGGGCGCTGTGCTGCTGTGGTGCTGCTGTGGTGCTGCGCTGCAGGCCGGCCGGGCGATGTGCCAAGGCGTGCATTCCCGAGCGCAGAACGGCGGAGAGGCATCAGACTTGCATGAAGGCGCGCAGCGCAGCGCGCCGACGACGGGGGGCCGGGCCTCGGCTTGGCCTCGCCAACCGCGACGACAAACGGCGCAACAAGTCGACCTGCTTGATTGCACAATGCACGCCGCGCCGCCACCGGCCGGAGGGCGAGGCTGCTCCAGAAACTGCCCCAAGTTGGCGAAACACCGACAGTGTGTCGTCCTGCCTCCTGCCTGTGCTGACGGCCCGCTTCCGATCGTTGCAGGGGACGGCGTGGGCGCGCGGCCGCAGCTCGGCGCACGTGCTAGACCAGCGACGTCAAGGTGAGTGCCGACGGTGCCGACACGGACGAGACGAGGTGCGTCCAAGTAGCCGGCAGCCCCACCCCGCCCCCCGCCCCGCCCCGAGGGCTGCTGGTGGAGTGCTTGGCGCGTGCGACGGTGCCGAATGAGCCGAGAGCAAAGCCCTCCTTCTGTCTCTCTCCTGGCTCGGCGCAGAGCTGCCTTGGTGCGCCCCTCGACTGGGCCGGACTCAACCGGACTAGACTAACGTGCGATGAATCTTCCCTTTGTTGCTCACCGCCCTCGGCCGCGTTCGGCCCGCAGTGCTGGGCAGTGCGGCGGCCTGCCAGTCCATTCCCCTCTCCCCCCTCCCCCACTCCTCCCTCAGAGGCTCCTCGGCCGGCAGACTTTTTACCCAGCTTTGGCTTCATCCTTTCCTTCTTACACTACGTGGCATAACCGCCCAAGGGAATCGGATGTTGAGCGGATTAAGGCGCCTCTGGCGGCTCCGCGTCCCCGCGGCCCTTCGCGCCCGATCCCCTCCACCGTTTTCACGGCCCTCTCGCGGCCTCGCGGCTTCAAGGCCCTCGGAGGGCTGTCGCTGTTCCGCGCTGTTCCGCGAGGCCAGCAGACCGCAGCAGACTGGGAGTCGTTTGCGTCGCTCTGTCTCTCTCGCACTCATGGAGCGTCGCCTATCGGTGTGAGAGAGACACAGCGACGAAACCGACTCTCGGAATCAGTCTGCAGGCCGAACCGGACGAGGCGGTACCTCGAAACGGAGACAGCCAGACAATAATGCCATTCAACGTTATAGCAGTGTATTATACATTCAAACAGAAAAAAAAAACGAAAAACGACCCATGAAATGTTTTATTGTGTGGTCTTTCATTTGTTACTGTGCCACTCTTGTCTTTGACGAAGATTCGTGTGAATTATTCTCGAGGAAAATAAGGAAAGTGGAACGGTTTTTTTTTTCCCGGGTGCACTATGACAAATGACGCTCATTCAATCGCCGTAGGCACGGCGGCGCAGGGCAAAGAAACTTGAGCTCTGTTGTTGTTGTTGCTGTGTGGCGCAGAGTCAACCGGGTGCTTTTTTTATCCCATTTTCGCGACAGGCCGGAAAAAACGGGACAAAGAGAAAGCGGAACTGTTGGGAACAGGTTCCGAATCGTGACCGATCGCGGTCCATCGGGGGCCTTGCGCCGACCTGCCCCGGCCTGCGCTTATACGCTTTGAATGTGGTGGGGTCGGGTCGGATGTGGCTGGGTGAGTGTGTCTGTGCGAGTTTGTGTGTTTTGCGCGCGCGTGTGTGTGGTGTGTGTGTGTGTGTGTGTGTGAGAGAGAGAGAGAGAGAGAGAGAGAGGGGGGGGGGCGCTTGCACCGAATTGTCCATTCGGCCCTTTGTCTCTGCCTTTGCCTCCCGCGGTGTCAGGTTGCGTGTATTCGTGTTTGTACTACGAGACGGCGGGATAAATCCTGTTATGTATTGCCGCACTGATTCCGCTGCTGCCGCGCCGGTCACTTCATGAGGGGATACAGTATTTCCATCCACCGTGGTCCTTACCCCCCCACCCTCTGACCCCTCTCCCTCCCCTCCCCTCCTCTCCCCCTTCCTGGCTGTCAGGTGATAAATCAGTCGCCTAACTTGGTCCCGGCCGGGAGGCATGCAGGCCGGCAAGGTTCCACTGGGTTCCACTGGGCTCCGCTTCCCCGTGCCGTGCCTGCCCCGTGCCGTGCCTGCCCCGTGCCGTGCCTGCCCCGTGCCGCCGAGGCCGGGCGACACTACAACGCCGACACCCAGTGGCAGGCCGATTCCGTGGAGTCTGTGTCTGTCTGCGTCGCACTCGCAGGGCGTCTCGAAGGGCCCTGCGAGAGAGAGAGAGAGAGAGAGAGAGAAAGAGAGAGAGAGAGAGAGAGAAAGAGAGAGAGAGAGAGAGAGAGAGAGAGAGAGAGAGAGAGAGAGAGAGAGAGAGAGAGAGAGAACGGCGAAACGGCTCTTCGGAATGGCTCGGCAGCACAGGCCTATTGGTAAACGCTTGTAAGCGCCTCGATAAGACTACTATCGCCTTTTCCTTGTCGTTCCCCCTTGCAGAAAGCCTCCCTCGCCCTCTCTCTCTCTCCCTCTCTCTCTCTCTCTCTCTCTCTCTCTCTCTCTCTCTCTCTCTCTCTCTCTCTCTGCCACTCAATCAAGGTGATCAATAACTTAGTCGTGGTGGCTGGGCCGCTGGGAAGCTGCCGCAGACTGATTCCGAGAGTCATTTTCGTCGCTCTGTCCCTCCCGCACTCATGGGGTGCGTCCCTTGTAGGTGCGAGAGAGACAGAGCGACTCTCGGAGTGAGTCTGCTGGCGTGTCTTTGACGGTGGCGTGACGACGCGCCGCCCCGCCAGTCCCTCGGTGCACAGACTGAAAGGCCGAAAGGTCTCCAATTAGCGCGGGTTCAAGTCCCACCGCCCGCAAATTATTTCTAGTGGCGGCGATGAAAAAGCCGAGTTGCTTCTGCGGCGCAATCTGGCGGCAATCCTGGCAAGTCCGCCGCCTTGGCGCCCCCCACGCCCCGGCGCCTCGGCCCCTTGGCAGCACACTGAGAGTCCCGTCGCCCCGTCTCTCTCGCACCCCGACGGCACGCTCCGTGAGGGCGAGAGAGACTCTCGGAATCAGTCTGCGGGCTCGCGTGCCAAATTGATCCCCGATAAATGAAGCTTCGCTGGGCTTCGCAGCTTCCGTGAGAGTGAGCCGTTCGGACGGCCAAAGCCGGCAAAGGCCAGCCAAAAGGGGCAGCGGGAGGGGGAGGGGGAGGGGGAGGGGGTTGCTACAAGACCCATCGCGTGGCCCGGGGGAGTCTGCCGGCAGGTTCGTGTGGCAGTGCGGCGGCTGGAGAGGCGGGACGGAGGCAGTTAGAAAAGGGGTGGGGGCCAGGGTTGCGCGGCGTGCGACCCGACACGGGGCCACGCCGGGCCACGCCACGCCGGGCCGCGCCAGCCAGACCACTCCGCCAGCAGCTTTGTCCTTGTCCCGCGCCATATATCCTGGCGGCTGCATGCTACGTGGCCGGACCGGCCCGGACGACCATCCCGTCGACCATCCCGACAGCGCTAAGAGACTCCATTACCGCGGCGGGGCCACTTTCCGAAAGGGAGCCGAATCGAGTTTAGCAAGGAGCCTCCGTCACTTTTCACGTGGTTCTCTAAACAGAGATGCTGGTCTGCACTGTAACACATCCCTCGGACTGAGAGTCATAGCTCTGTCTCTCTCGCACCCAAAGGGACGCTCCACGAGTGTGACAGAGCCAGACGACTCTCAGTCTGCAGCTCGGCCACAGGAACGCGGCTCCTGATTGGACCGGGCGCAGCACGGGGCGCAGCAGGCAGCAGGGTGGTTGGACTTATGTGCTTTGACAAGATTGCTTCCCGGCTCACATCGACCGGGCTGGGGCCCTGGCCGCCCTGGCCGTCCTGGCGAGCCGGCCACGAGTCCTTGGGGCCGTGCGGGCCGAGCCTGGCCCGGATCCGCGGTCCTCCGGGCCGGCAAGGACCTCGGCAAGGACGCGGCACGAGAGGAAAAAGGGCCTAGAACGACATTTCCGCCACCTGGCGTCCCATCTGCAGCCTTCCTGGAGAGGGAGGAAAGATGGAAGAAAAACCTAGAAAAACGGAGGAAAGATCGACGGCACGGAAAAGTGGTTTTCCATCACCGCGGCGGTGGACACCACGGAGTCCGTAGGGCGGAGGGCGGGCACGGGGTCCTCCAGGATTCCTACTGTGGTGGGGCTCGGAATGGCCCTGTGGCAAACCATGAATCCATGGACGCTGCTACGCCGCTTACGATTTGCCGCCTTAGTTTGCTTTTATAATTTTTTTTAGAAAAAAATTCTTGATTAAAATTTTTTTTTCTAGTATGAAAAAAACTTTTCTTGCGTCAAAATTTTTTTCTTATTGAAACCAAGAAAATTAAAATTCAAGAAATCACTTTTCTGGGTGTAGTTTGGTTTTGAACGGGGATGTTTGGCCGTTCGAAAAAGCCCAGTGCAAAGCCTAGTTTGGCAGCGTAAGGCGAGCGGGGACGGGACGGCGGCCTGGTCGGGCGCCGCTGCTGCTCGTAGAAAGAGATGGAGATGGTTTCGTGGTGGACGCGCGGTTTGATTGTAATCCGGGTCGTTCTTTACATTGTTGGCCGAATAAAAAGTTTTTACGCGCGGCCTCCTCCCATTGGCCGCCTCGCTCGCCTGCCAGCCTCCGCAGCCCCTTTCTGCTCGCAGTGCGCGGCGGCCTCGACGCGAGACGCGATTAATTCGGTAACTAACTTCACTAACCACGCGACGCCACGCCACCACACCTCAAATTGTATCAGACGACGGGGCGCCTTTCCGACTGAAAGGGGCGCTGGGTGAAAGCGTTTCCGAGGCGGAACGCCACAGAGAGATTGACCGTTCAAAGTCAGCAAAAAACCGCGCTACTTTCGGGATGCAATCACCCTTTGAGCGACTTTGCGAGACTGGTGTTCCACAACTGATTGTCGTCAAAGCGGTTCCTAGTCGGGCCATGAAAGAGACAGGCCTTAGGAATGCCAGGATCGTTAAGGGAGGCGTCTAGCCACAGGCAGATGGGATGCAGTGGCCGTATCCGAGATGATTTCCCCATATCCCCATAATCCTACCCTTTTTGTAACCCGTCTTCTCAAGCGTCTACTACTGGTGCGCTAACGATGCCGCTTCTCTGTTTCTCTGTCGCAGGTGTTGGCGTGCGCGGCTGCCTGGTGCAGCCTGAGGTGGCCTTGATGGGATGGGCTGGGCATTTGCTCGGGGTCCTGAGGCCCCCTCTAGGGCCCCCTCTAGGGCCCGCCCCCCTAGAGCCCCCCCTAGAGCCGCCCCCAGGGCCCCCTGGAGACGCCCCTGGAGAAGCCCCTGGCGGGGCGCGGCGCTGCTCTTGCTGGCTTCCACCGCGCTGTGCCTGCCCGCCGTGCCCGGCGCCGAGGCCGCCGAGGCCGCCGACGGCCCCCAGGAAGGGCCCCATGCCGAGCCGCAGACGGACGCCGCGCTCCACATCGCGGTGGCGCTGGCGGGGGCACAGGACCAGGCCATGGCGAGAATCGTCCACCGCACGCTCGCCAACATGACCAAGGAGTTCCTCCACGTGAGTAGTCCCACCGCCACACTGCCACACACACACACAACCACCCACAGACAACAACGGGCATTCCTGTTACTCCTGGAATTCCTCGGTTGGCGACACTGTCTACGCGCACCTTCCCGTCCCTTCGGTCCTCGCCCTGCCCAGCGGCCTGTCCCTGGCTGCCTGGCAGCCCGAATGCCCCGGACTCCACGTCGGAGGTGAGACTGGCCCGGAACGTGAAACGCGAAGGTGTGGGGGTCAATATCTGCGCCGGGCTTCCAGCAGAGCCGGAGCAGATAACCGGGGGAGGGGGAGGGGGTGGTTTGGAATGTCTTTGTTGATGGAGCCAACGAAGTCGGTGATGCCCGCCGAGTCTTTCCTGCATTCCCCCCCCCCTCCTCTCTCTCTCTGTGCCTCTCTCTGTGCCTCTCTCTCTCCCACTCTCTCTCCCTCTCCCCACCTCCCTTCCTCCTTCCCTCCCTCTCCTCCATCTCACTCTGTACTTCCCTCTCTCTGTCTCCATTTCTCTCTCTGTCTCTCTCTCCCCCTCCCCATCTTCAATGTCTCAACTCGCCCCCTCCAAGGTCACGGCGAGTATACGACACCAGAGTGACGGCGAATATTTTCCCCCCGGCAATCCAATTCGACAGGGGATCATCCATAAATTACGGGATCCGGAACAAGTCCTATCCCCCTAACCCGACCCAGCCCCCGAGCCCCCCCGAGCCCCCCCGAGCCCCGCCGAGCCCCGCCCTTCGCGCCGTCAGACTGATCCGACAGTGCGCTGTCTCCCGCAGCCCGCAATACGTGCACCTTTACCTCCGGGAAACAAAACAAAAAAAAATATTAAGAGGAGAGAAGAGGTGTGGCATTTCCTGTGGCAGGTTTGCGGGAACAATATTTTTTTTCTGTCCGATAAATCGACTGAGACGCTTTTTTGAGACCGTTTGTCGCTTTATTATAGTGTACTGTAACAATACCTAGCCCATTTATAATGCATTGGATGGAAGGGCCGGGGAAAATAATCAATCATGTACGTGGCCTGGTGCGTAGGGCTCTATGTGTGTGTGTGGGGGGGGGGGCTGGCGGCTCATATCCAGCCCCCGTTGAACTTGAACTGCCGGGAAGGGAGGGGGAGGGGAGGGGGTGGGGTGGGGGAGGCGTCCCTTGCCAGCATAGCCCATTACTGGAAGCCAGCTTTCTGGCCGGATATTTGCGTAATGAGCCCTTTTGATGAACTCTCCACCATGCGGGTTATGCTTACAGCTGTCCGTCTGTCTGCCTGCCAGACTGTCTGCCTGTCTGTCTGCCTGTGTTTCAGACACAGTGCGTTTTGTCTCCCACCACCACTGTATGCGTGTATGCGGATAGAGGAAACCGAGGTTTGTGTTTCGTGGGATGAATCGGTTGTAGATGAGGTCCAATTTATTCCTCGCACACTATACGTCTGTCTGTCTGCCTGCCTGTCGGCTCGGCGAGTGGATGGAATGCTGGCTGGACCGACCCCGGCTCTACATTGTTCCGCCATCAAAGTGAATTTAAATGCAGTTTGCACTTTGCACACGCCCTGGCTTTATCGCATGATTACGAAAATAGTTGGCAACTTCACCCGCACTCGCCTGCACACTGTGAAAATTCGAGTCGAAACAGTTGATGACATTTTTGTCACGTCCAGGACCTTTGATGAAAATTTCATAAGAGGTTGTCATCATTTGAAAGTGATGCGAAAATATCATGCAGCAAATTTTCACAGTGCACGCAGGCGCGCAGGCGGGGCTGTAACGTTTCGGATGATTTCGGTTGGGTAAGGGACAGTTTCCTCCAAAGCGTCAAAAAGGTCACAACCCGGTAAAGATGGCGGAAGGACGCATGTGAAAGTCCCGGTCCCAAATCGGATTCATTGTTTCGTGGAAATTTATTTTTGGCGGGCTGTTGTGTCCTACTCCACCGCGGGCCGAAACAGATGTGCCACTGTACGTGTTATTGGTGCGTGTGGCGCTGCCATTGCCAGGACGATGGTCGTCCCTTCAAGGTCCCTCGCGTGGCACGCGCGGCACGCCACGCGAAGGGACAGTGCCGTGCCGCGCCGCGCCGGACAGGCAGGGTGTGGCCCGCCGGCACTTTGTCACAAGACCCATTTCCCAATTACTCACTCCCCACCCTGCCGCCGGGCCGGGCCGTGCCGGGCGCGTCTGAGTGGCGCGCAAGTTGCGGTTTTGCGAGTGGAGCGGTGGCCCGGCCGGCACACAGTGGGCCAGAAGACCGGCGGAGGCGGACAAAACTCTAGACCCGTTTCGAGCTCCAGAGTCGCTCAGTGGGACTGTAACCGAGCGCGTGACCCCACCAATGGATTCCTCGTTCGGAGAGCAATCCATCGGTGGGGTCACACATTCGGTTCGAGTCCCATTTAGCGACTCTAGAGCTCAAAACCCGCCCGGGGTTTTGACCACCTCCACCGGTCTTCTGGCCCACTGTGCGGCACCTGCACTGCCAGCAGCCTGCACCGACGACGGCGATGGGATGGGATGGGATGGCACACCGCCAGCGGGCCGCCAGGTCACACGCCCGCAATCTCGGTCATCGTATTTCCGCAAGGCCCCGTTTTTTCCTCGTTCCAGTGGGAAACAAGCTGCTTAATTAAACTGCACACAGTCACTAAAAAAAATATATTATTTTTTTAAAGTTACACTCTTACACCCTTCCCTACAGACAATTGCCGCGCAGTCATAATGAAGGATTGTTTGCTTGTTTGTGTTGTGCCAACGCTGTGGTCTGACGGACTCTGTTGGTTGCAGGTGGTCGGCAACGTGTCCGTGGCGCCGCTGCTGCTCAGCCTGCCGGGCAGCCTGCCGGGGGGCGGCGTGACGACGGCCGGCGTGGGGGCGGGCCTGGGGGCAGGCCTTGGGGGCGGCGAGGGGGCCGGCACGGTCATCGAGAGGCTGTGCGCCCTGGTGGCGGGCCGCCGCGTCGTCGCGCTGCTCGTCGTGGGCGGCGGGCCCGCGGCGCTGGCGGCCGCCATGGCGGGCGTCTCCGCCAAGGTCCCCGTGCTGTGGCTGCGCGGCGGCGGCCGCTACTCCACGGGCTTCGGCTACCAGGTGAGTGGGGTCGTCTCCGTCTCCGCCTCCGTCTCCGTCGACAACGACATCGGCCAGGGTTGTTAAAGTTAATTTAACGATTAACGACGATAATCGATTTTCGATAAGTTAATTTAACGGTTAACGTTAACTCGATAACATCTTGCAGACCAGTTATCGTTATCGAATTATCGTTAACACAATCCCTGTTAACTTATCGATTAACTAAACTAACTAATTCCCCCAAAACGTAGAAATGCACGCAAAATTTTTCAGCAAAAGCGTTTCTGACGTTCGTACTTTTGCGCCGCTGGCACTCGGCCGTGCCCAACTGCCGGCCGAGGGGGTAAACACTTCAAGAAATCGTGTACAGACTACTCGGTATTACCCTGTATTACTGAGGTATTACACGTGTATTACGGCCTTAAAATGCAAAACTTTGGCACATTTGACCCAGAAATGGTATTACGACCACGTGTATTACGCGTAATACACGGTTTTTGTGTACAGGGTGTTACGCGAGTGGTTACCCCCTCGCTGCCGGCCCCAACGGTAGTGGTAGTCAAGTCAGTACTGGGAGTAAGTCGTCGCTTGTCACTAGTAACGCGCTATCAGTCAGTATAAGTTTGTAAAATTTTCAATTTTAATCTTTTTAACTCCCTATTCCTCATTGTATTCATTTTATCATTTAATAAAGATAGGTAAAGCACCTGGGATTCCCAGGAGCCCTATGTGATAAGGTATAGGAGTTTCCAGGAGATTCCTGGGATTCCCAGGAAGTTTTTTTTACCGTGCATACATAATAGTCCAATTAGACATTACTTTTGGGCATTTAATGTTGTGTTTTATTATCCTTCATTACGCCATTTAAAAAAAGTTAGTTACTTTTAACGATTTTCGTTAAAAGTAACTTATCGATAACTCGATAACGTGGCCGAGAGGTGTTAACGTTAACTAGTTATCGTTAACAGGGGTCGGAAATTAACTTAACGATAACTCGATAACCATAAAAATTAACTTTAACAACCCTGACATCGGCCACTAATCCAGACCGTCCCGCGTCCGACGCGTACCGCCCCAAATCCCGGTGGATAGCGGTGCCAGGGGTGCTGTCTAGGGTACTCTTTACCCACCGCGCCCAGAGTACACACACACACACTCACACTCACTCACACACACCCCACACACACGACGCGGACGTGCCTGGACGGCGTCGCCTCGTCGCGCCCCGTCCTCGCGCGCGACTCTCCGCCTAAGTACACTTGGATCAAGTTCCCTAAGGAGCCTAAAGGGATTAGGCGGGCATATTATTTTCGCACTGCCGCCTTCGCGCGGACGATGTGTGAAAGTGGGGCGAAGCAGACTCCGTGGTGGCACGGCCAGGCCAAGGGCCGGGCCTAGGGCCAGGCGCAAGGCCGGATCCAGAGAGGGGGGCGTTTTTAGCATAAGGTGCCCGCCTTCCAGGTGCACAGTGGGCCAGAAGACCGGTGGAGGCGGACAAAACTCGAAACGCGTTTTGAGCTGCAGAGTCACTAAATGGGACTCGGACCGAACGTGTGACCCCACCAATCGATTCCTCGACCGGAGAGCAATCCATTGGTGGGGTCACACGCTCGTTTCGAGCCCCATTCGGCGACTCGCGCGTCTAGAGCTTTGGCCGCCCTGGTCTTCTGGCCCACTGTGAGGCACCCCCCTCCCCCTGGATCCACGCCTGCCCGGGGGCCCACTCGTGTATTGAAGGACGGCAATGCCGGGGCAATGCTGG